GGTAGAAAGCGCCGCAGAGCAGCCCAGTCCCGCGGGCTGAGCCTGCGATTTTGGACAGAGATAGAGAGAGCGAGCCCCGGGCCGTGCAGCCCCTTCCCCAGCGGAGGGGCACGGGGGGCGGCAGGCAGCGCTTCCCCCTGTGCGAGGTGCCAGCGCTCTCCCGGCACCCAGCAGCAGGCAGGGCACGGCACGTGAGGCTGGGAATTGCACAGTGCTCCCAGAGCGGGCAAAAATGCAATCTGTGCTAGGGAGCGGAAAGGTAGGTGTCCGGGTTTGTGCAGGAATGCAGGGCTGGGAGATTCCGCGTGGAAAGGGGGTGGGTGCTGAGAGAGAAAGCGAATTTGTTTCCAGCGTGGAGAGGCGCTTTTCTAACCCGACACTCGAGCTCCAATCACACACTCTGAGGTTAGCGTAGCATTAAATTAACAGGCAGGGTCGGGGTTATCCAGGGCATTATACCGCGTGCCCGGGATGTAACCTCTGCTCACTCATACACAAAGAAGAGGGAGAGACGGAGTTACACCAGGAAAGCCAAAGAGCACGGTGAGTATCGGTATTCGCTGCTCTCCCTCCCATTCCTGGGAACAAAGTTCAAAGGCGGCGGGCGCGGGACTGGGGCTGGCTCCGCCGAAGCCCCTCCGCTCCCTTTGGAGCAGCCGCCTTTGGAGCCAGGACCCTCAGCGCAGCCCCTGCGGGGCGAGCCCTCGCTGAGCAACAAGGAGAACTTGCGGTACCTTGGTTAGAACTTTGCTACTTTATGTAGAGAGGAAAAAAAATTTAAAAAAAAATTGACTTGGATGCAGCGCTATTTATAGGTGGCGGTAAAGGCTCCTTTTCAATAAGCAGCAGTGGAAAAAAAGCGTCAGAAAAGTGGCTGCTTTATTGATCCGAGGCGCTGGACGGTCACAGCCACGCCAGCCAGGCTGCACCTACAAAGTTGCGTCTCCGCTCGGGTAAGGCAGCAGCGAGAAGGGGAATAGGGTGCGGGTTTTGCTGACCACTAGCTTGGACACGATTCAATTCCCAAGCACAAGTACAGGGCAAAAGAGTGTGAGATGGAACACTTTTTCCTTTTCTTTCAGACACGCACACAATGCAGGGCACCCGCAGGGCTGAAAGTGGGCCAGGGCTACACTGAAGGTATCAGATCACACAAAGCAGAGGAAAGAAATCCAGTTAAAAATACATTAGTTGAAATCAGAGGACGAGCTTGATTATTTTTTTTCTTTTAAACAAAGGTGCACGTTAGAACAAGCTGGAAGCTCTTTGTGCCTGACGGTATCCCCCACGCCCACTGGAAATAAAGAAGAGGCTTGCTCTTTCTTTGCATCATTTAAACCTTGTTTTAATTAGAATTGCCAAAGTAGGACACCCCGGTGGAAGATGTTTTCAAGTATCCACCTACCTCTCTGCTGTAAGCAGAACTGCTCTCTGCTAAATTGCTTGAAACGCAAAATTCTGCCCCACCCCCAGCTTGGTTTGGCACCTACTCACTTCCCCCCCCCCCCCCAAATTGCAATCGTTTATGAAAGGTTACTCCATTGGGAGGAAAAGAGAAACCCCAAACACCCAGCAGTAATGAGATCAGTGGATTCCGAGAGCCTCGCTTTGCTCTGTACAACAGGAAAGGCTTTGGACAAGAGAGCGTCCCAAAAAAGTCATGCCTTCTTTTTTTTTTTTTTTTTTTTTTTTGAAGTCCCAGATTGGGCGTATCCTTACACTTCTCCTTTAATTTATTTGATTAAATCATAACCAAAACAGACTCATCAGCTTCTCGTATTTCCTCAGCTGTAACCATACGCGAAACCTTTTATATGGAGACAAGTAATTGGCTTTAGTTAACTCAGGGCATGGGCTGCGCTCAGTTTTCCTCCCGTTCCCAGGGCAGCGTTTCACGCAAACGCCTGTTCCAGCTCTGCCTCACGATCCTCAGCCGCCAGCCTCGGGTTTTTAAGCTGTTTGTGCAGTTCCCCACCATTCTCTGATTTTGCACATGAGGGATGCTCCCGGCAGAGGCTTGCGGGACGAGGGGGCTCTTCCCGCTTGGGATTTGGGAGTGGCGGGAATGGTTTAGGGGGGGGGTCCAGCCCGGTTTGAACTCGGAACCACACCTGGACCGTGTCCTGCGGCCACCCGCGTCCCGCCTCGGTACCGGGCTCGCGGCTTGTTCCCGCTCCCGATGAAGGAACAGATTAATTTCACCTTGAGGAAAGCGAGGTTCTGTTAGCTCACTTCTGTCTTAAATCTAAAAGAAAGAAAGGGTAAAGGCGGGGGGGAAAAACCCTCTTAAAGTTTCCCAGGTAAAGCTCGGCTTTCCTTTGGTCATTACTCAAATGAAGAACAGCGTCAATTAACTCCAAATTGGAAATGCCTGTCCGAGAAGAATAATGATAATTCCCGGCCGTTCTCTAAGAGGTAGTTGCAGGATGGCACTTAGTGCGTGTGGTCCCTAATGACAGGATTGCTGCCCTGCCCGGGGTTCGGCTCTCCCTGCCCCGCTGGCTTCGCTCTCAGCTCGGGCAGCGACGTCGGGCACGGCTGTCCTGCCCAAACCTTCCCCCTGTCCCCTGGCTCGCCGCCCGCAGCCGCACGGGCTCACACCTCCCACAGCCAGCACAGCGTGACCACACCGTGACAAGAGATTTAATTACCCCCATCCCTCGATAAGAGGGCAGGGGCCTCTCAGCAACAGGTAACCGAGGGCACCTGCAGCTCTGCGAGTTGTTTAACTGATAACAGAGGAAGGACAGAGGGGTCGCTTTAGGTAAGCCGGGGTGCGAGGGAAGCGGGACGTTAAAAAAGGGGCGCACAGCAATACTCTGGCAAAAGTTTAACGTTGCTGCGAGGGGAGCGGGATCCCCGCAGGGAAACGGGACCGCTGCTTCGCCTCGGCTCCTCGCTCGCTGTTCTCAAGCTGTCCCCACAGCCCCTCAAGCCGTCCCGCGGAGCTGTGGGGTGGACACGTTGCTCTCCCTGGGACCGGGCTCCC